TCACCAAAGGCTCTTAAGCAAAGTAAACAGTTGTGGGATAAGAGGGAAGGTCCTTTCCTGGCTCAGTAACTGGTTAAAAGATAGGAAACAAAGGGTAGGAATAAATGGTCAGCTCTCATAGTGGAGAGAGGTAAATAGCAGGGTCTCCCAAGGATCTGTCCTGGGACCAATGCCATTTAACATTCTCATAAATGATCTGGAAAGGGGGGTAAACAGTGAGGTGGCAAAGTTTGCAGATGATACAAAATTATTTAAGACAGTTAAGTCTAAAGCTGCCTGAGAAGAGTTACAAAGGGATCTCGCAAAACTGGGAGACTAGGCAACAAAAGGGCAGATGAAATTCATTGTTGATAATTCAAAGTAATGAACATTGGAAAACATAATCCGAGCTATACATACAAAATGATGGTTCTAAATTAGCTGTTACCACTCAAGAAAGAGATCTTGGAGTCATTAAGGATAGTTCTCTGAAAACATCTGCTCAAACTACAGCAGCAGTCAAAAAAGCCAATAGAATGTTAGGAACCATTAGGAAAGGAATAGATAAGACAGAAAATATCACAGTGCCACTATATAAATCCATGGTACGCCCACGCCTTAAATATTGTGTTCGTTTCTGGTTGCCATATCTCAAAAAATATATATTAGAATTGAAACAGGTATAGAGAAGGGCAACAAAAATGAATAGGGGTATGGAACAGCTTCCCGATGGGCGGGGAGAGAGACTGTGACTGTTAAGCTTAGAAAAGAGACAACTAAGGAGAATATGACAGAGGTCTATCAAATGTTGACTGGTGTGGAGAAAATTTAATAAGGAAGTGTTATTTACCCTTTCACACAACAAAAGAACCAGGGGTCACCCAGTGACATTAATAGGGAGCACGTTTAAAACAAACAAGGAAATACTTCTTCACACAACGCACAGCCAACCTGTGGAACTCATTGCCAAGGCTTTTGTGAATGCTAAAGGTATACCGGGGCTTGTTTAAAAAAAGAATTAGATATGTTCATGGAGTATAGATCCAGAAATGGCTATTAGCCAGGAAGGTCTGGGAATGTAACCTCTTGCCCTTAGATATCCCTAAGCCTCCAACTGCCAGAAGCTGGGACTGGACAACAGGGGATGGATCACTTGAAAGTTGCCCTGTTTTGTTCATTCTCTCTGAAGACTTTGGCACTAGCAACTGTTGGAAGACAGGATACTGGGCTAGACGGACCATTGGTCTGACCCAGTATGGCCGTTCTTAGTTCTGTTGTGCTTTTTCCCCCTCCCCTCTCTCCCTGAGTCAGTGCAGTGACCTATTTAACTAGACTAACCTTTGGGAAGACTACTCATTTAATCCAAAATGCTTCATATTGGCATCCTACAGGGAATGTACAAAATAAGTATTTTCCCAGTCCCATTCTAAATGTTAAGCGTTGGCATACGAAGCGCAGTTAAACTTCCTTAATGGGAATTGAAGACATTCACGCAGTGGGGTGGGATCATTAATCAAGGACCTTTTGTCTAGTTAAAACTATCTGAGTGTTTTGTTAGTATGTCTTCAGGTTTTCAGAGAACTGAAACTTAGAAGTGACTTTGTAATGGTTTTGGGTGCACAGAATCTTTTTGGGGAGGTGGGGTAGTTGTAGAATCATACTACAGTACACTGAGTCTCTGTGGCTTTTATTGTCTTGTATAGTTACTGTTCAAACTTATTACACAATTAAGAAATTTATTGGGTCTTCCTTTCCTTAGAGTGGCGGACAGCAAGTGTGTTTTAGAGGTGACATGTTTGGGATGGAGGAGTACTAGTCTCATGCTGCAACCAACTTAGCTTCTTAATGACACTTGCTACTTCTATTGGTAGAAATGTAGCTAGAAGTTTGAAGTTCCTTTAACTGGTGTCTGTAGTGAGGGTAGAGATGATTGGCATCTGGCTAAAAAGGTCACAATAACCCAGGCTCAACTTCTTAATGTGTGTGACACTGTAAAAAGTTTTCAATGTTCTTGCAGCACGAATTGTTCTTTGTAAGATGTGACAAGGTGTTCACATGTATCAACACTAGAAAATTTCACCTGTTCGCTGTCGTTCTCCTTTTGCTCCCTTTGGGAGATAAAACAGCTGCTAAATGTTTTTACATTAAGTTCAATATTGAAATTCTATCTTCTGGCTTTGATGGAGGAGAAAAGCTAAACTATACAAACAAATTAAATTGATTGGATTGTTGTGAGCACAGTGACACAACTGTTAGCAGTAAGTGCAAGATAACTTCTAGATTTTTAGTAAATGTGACCTGGAACCTTCTGAAAAAAACAAAAATGGCCTTTTGTTATGACTATTGCAGCTTCTAACTATGTTTAGAATGCAGGAGGGCTACAGAAGAGAGAAAGCAACTGAGAGTATGTCTACATTTTTAACTTGGTGCAGATTTTGTTTATCCATGTTAAGTGATTCGCAACAACTGTTGCACAATTAATTTCTACACCCTGCATTGTTATCCTGCAATCAAGTTAAATTACTCTTGGGGGAATTCTGCGCCACTGCACATGCAGAATTTGCACAGAAATTAATGTGCACGCAGAATTCCCTTCCTCCCTCCCCCGAAATGGGCTGCAGAGCTGCTGGCAGCCACTAGGGGCAGCGGGACCCTTCAGAGTCCAGCTCGCAAATTGAAGACGCTGCTGGGGGAAGGTAGAGGGAGCTGGAGGGTTCCTGGCAGCTGCAATTCCTGGCCTGCCCTGAAGGAAGAAAAGCAGCATGCAGGAAACTCCACGCAAGCCCGGGACCTAGTATCAGGCTGTTTCTCCCTCTTGATCCCTGGACTCTGTGGGAGAGGGATGCAAGTGTCTGGGTGCCCCATGTCTGGGTTCTGGGGGGGGAGCGGTGTAGGTGTCTGGGCTGGGGGGGAGCCCGCAGCTGGGCTCTGGGGGAGAAGGGGTATGGCTGGGTTCTGGGGTGGGTGGAGGTGCAGGTGTCTGGGCTGGGGGGGCACAGCTGGGCTCTGGGGGGGAACAGGGGGCAGAGAAATAGGTACTGGGTTGTCATAGGGGTTTCTTTAACTCTCTACTCCTGGGGGAGGTTTTGTGTGCGTCTGTATTGTTACAGACATACTTGCTGACAGGTATGTTGAAATAAATTACCAAAATAATTGAAACTGGCATGATTATATAGTGTTGTTTTGACAAATAAAATATGCAGAATTTGGCAGAATTTTTAACTTTTTGGCACAGAATCCCCCCCGGAGTAAATAGTTAATGTTGCTTCATATCTTTGTGGCCATTTACAGTACTATTTTGCAATGAGCACTCAGCATTCTGGTCAGACATCGCATCATTGTTCTGCCACGCT